TTCATACTCTACATAAATGACCTCTGTGATCATATTAAGAGCAACTGCATTCTCTTCGCTGATGATGTAAAGCTGTTCAATACCACAGACAATACTGCGACCCTTCAAAAAGATCTTGACTATGTATAAGAATGGTCAAACAAATGGCAACTTCAAATCTCAACAAATAAATGCTCTGTCTTACATATTGGCAAAGAAAATCAGAAAATAAAATACAAGCTGAATAGTCAAGACCTTGTTGATGATCCAAGCTCTGTAAAGGATCTTGGAGTACTCATCTCTAATGATCTAAGAGCTAGAGCCCACTGTAACTGCATAACCAAAAAGGCATTAAGAGTTGTGAACCTAATCCTACGTAGCTTTTTCTCTGGTAATATCACACTACTAACTAGAGCATACAAAACATTTGCTAGGCCAATACTCGAATACAGCTCATCAGTCTGGAACCCACATTACGTATCTGATATTAGCACAATTGAGAAAGTCCAGAAATATTTCACAAGAAGAATTCTCCACTCCTCTACTTGTTGTAGAATACCTTATGCCACCAGACTTGAAATTCTAGACCTAGAAAACCTTGAATTATGCCGTCTTTGGTCTAATCTAAGTATGGTATATAAAATCATACATTGCAATGTCCTACCTGTCAATGAATACTTCAGCTTCAACCATAACAACACAAGAGCACACAATAGATACAAACTCAAGGTTAACCGCACCAAACTTGATTGCAGGAAATACAACTTCAGCAACAGAGTGGTCAATGTCTGGAATACTCTACTTCACTCTGTGGTTTCTTCCCCAAAGCCCAAAAACTTTAACCTTAAACTGTCTACTACTGACCTCACTCCTTTCCTAAGAGGTCTGTAAGGGGTGTGCATAAGCGCACCAACGTGCCTACCGTCCCTGTCCTTTTGTTTCTTTTATTTTTCTTATATATGTACCCATTTCATGTATTCATAACTACGTATATGCTTATACCTATTATCTTGTAAGCGATTGATAAATCAAATAAATCAAATCAAATCAAATCAAATCAAGGATCGAACTCCTGGCAATAGGCAGAATTAGCCTGCAATACTGCATTCTAACCAATAAGCCACCACCAGCTGTATGAAAGTAACAATAGTTCTGCACAAATCATTAAAACGCCATTTTGCATGTCAAACCTTTGCAGCTAACTTGCTGGTCACAACTGTCCTGAGAGCACCTCTCAGCCCCCCACCCCACCCCAACCCCCTAAAGACCCTCAGTCCGCACCTCCATCCCAGCAGACTTGCTCACCTGACAGGTAGCTCACCTCTTCCAGCTTCTCCAGTTCATCCAAGAGGCCCACCTCATCTTCTCTGCAAAGAGGAACGAAGACAAAGGGGAACTGAGAACAGGTTTCGGTTGCTACATTTCCAGAATTTTTGCAAGCAGCTTGGAAAATATCACCCATCGTTTTAAGTGGCAGACCCGTTTTTCAGAAGCTTGGAGTAGAATTGTCCGAAAGATGCTTTTTCAAAAGACAACAGGACTTTGTTTTTCCTTGAAGGTGTTTTCCTCATCCTAGAAGCTTCTTCTGAAAAAGAACTAAATCTATTATCTATCTATCTATCTATCATCTATCTATCTATCTCTATCATCTATCTATCATCTATCTATCTCTATTATCTATCTATCTATCGATCATATATCATTTAGCTATCATCTATCTATCCATCTATCTATCATCCATTCATTTCTATTTAGCTGTCTATTTGTATCATCTATGAATCATTTATTTAGTCTATGTCTTTCATCTAACTATATCATTTATATCTATATGTGTGTGTGTGTGTGTGTGTGTGTGTGTGTGTGTGTGTGTGTATGTATGTATGGTATTCAGCTTTGTTCGGGTATGTGGGAAAATACCTGAACAAAGCTGAATACCATACATATAAGTACCCGCAAAAACTTAAGAAAACATATATATATATATTCTATCTATCTAATCTATGTATCTCTTTTTTCATCTATTTGTCCATCATTCATTTACCCATCTCATCTGTCTTTCCTATTCATCTTTTATCTATCACTCTATCTGTCTATCACTTTCTATCACTCTATCTCTATCTATCATTTATCTCTCTCTCCCTATCATATATCAACTCTCTCCCTATCATCTATCTATCTATCTATCTATCTATCTATCTATCTATCTATCTATC